AATCAAATAGCAATTCCTATAAAGTACTTCCGCAACTGCGTGTTATCGATAACTTCAATACATCCTGAAAAAAAGCTATCGGAAATAGTAACACTGCTGCTGTGTCAACCTGTACTAGGCTCTCGAGCAGAGCGGTATACAGCGAGCTCAAATGTTGCGCACAGCAAGTCCAATTCTTTTTACGACCTGCACGCCACACCTGCCCCACATGCAGCAGCTGCCCCAGCTGCCACGGCTTCTGCAGCCCAGCAAAAGTCAAGTCTCAAAATTTAATTACGTCACAAAGAGCAAGAAGCAGAAAATCCGCAGACAAAGCAATCGAATGGGCAACCGAATGGGGGAGGGTCGACAGCAGGTGGTGCGTTGAGGTGGCGGCTGTTAGCCAAGACAGCGCCACATTTTCAAACATTAACGAAATGCTTTTAATTGTGCACTTAACGCTCGTAAAATGTGATTTAATAGTTTTATTTGGCTTCTGCCGGATGGGTCCATCGGAGCAGGGACGCCGGGATGGGAATGTCCTAGTTCTGGCGCTGGGCTCTTGGGCGGAAACGGAAGTGAAGCGCATTATAAGTTGGTCGCGCAGTTTCCTATTAAACCGTAAGCAGTGCGACAGTCCAATTGGAAACGACAAACCCAGTGAAAGCCCAACGCAGCCGCCTCCTCACCCCTTGCCCCCTTAGGCCGTTTGGGGAATTTGCCGCAAAAATGGCAAAGGCGAAGAATGAAATGCGAATTGTTTTCCATTTTGTTGCCGCCGTAGGGGGAAGCTGAGTGCTTGGATATGGGAATCTGTTGAAATCAATGGAAAATTCAAGCTGGAGCACACACACTGATTGCACAGCCAAGTCCCATAGCAATTTACTCCACTAAATATATGTATATATTGATAAATGTAGTGTGGACAAGTTTTTATACCCTGAACTCATAGGAAATGGGAATTTTCGTTACAGGCGAACAGGAAGACTCTACACAGCGTGTATATATTCTTGATCAGGATGAATAGCCATGTTGGTTACGCCCCAGTCATCTGTCTGTCTGTCTCTAAGTCCGTCTGTCTGTGTTAGTGTCTGTCCGATCATTAATCTTTCCATCTGTCTGCCTGTCTGACTCCCTGTCTGACTGTATGCCATTCCGCTTGTTTGTCTGTCCATCCGTCTGTTTGTCGACTCGTCAGTCTGCCTGTCGTCTACAAAAAAGCTAGCGCCTTGAGCTGTTACACTTACGTCCTCCTAAATAACTTGCACATCAATTATGATCGATAACAATTTTAGTTATTTAAGCACATCTCGGACATCTTATCAGTTAGGGTACTCAGCTTTAATATGCAAACTTTGACTTTATAGACTGCAAATTTTATACATGCTGTACAGACTATAAGCTAGTCTATATAGTATTTGAATTTCGGATACCTTCTTAATTCTTTTAATAGGAAAACTAGACCTCGACCACTCTACCTTGAGGTTAATCCTATGTAATCCTGTATCTACTGTATATACTCTATATACTCTATACACTCTATATACTCTACATACTCTATATACTCTATATACTCTATACACTCTATATACTCTATATACTCTATATACTCTACATACTCTATACACTCTATATACTCTACATACTCTATATACTCTATATACTCTATATACTCTACATACTCTATACACTCTATATACTCTACATACTCTATATACTCTATATACTCTACATACTCTATATACTCTATATACTCTATATACTCTATATACTCTATATACTCTATATACTCTATATACTCTATATACTCTATATACTCTATATACTCTATATACTCTATATACTCTATATACTCTACATACTCTATAGACTTTGCATGTTTTTCTTATTTGGTAATGAGTCTGCTGAGTGGCATCAGTTTGATTGCTTATCATAGCCTTTTGTTGTCTACTTAACTCATTATGTTCTGTTAATTTCCCATAGAATTGAATTCTATTTTAAATATCTTAAGCGCTCTGCGGGTGAAATCACATAGCTGCAAATATCTTAAGCCTTACACATGGAATTCAATTGATTGAGGAATTTGCTAAAATAATTGATGGAAACAAAGCGGTGAGCAAGTGTGAGAGAGAGTGAGAGAGAAACAGAGAGAGAGAGAGAGAGAGAGAAAGGGCTAATAAGGAAATACATTGAATTACGTTTAATCAAATCGCAACGAAATGTTTTGACTCTAAATTTGAATTGACACAATTCTCACTTAAACTACTGCATGGCATGCAATTATTTTATTGCACATCCTGTGAGCCGATAGCATTCCATTAGTCAAAGTCAAAGCCGAGGCCCATTTGTCGAGGGAGGCCTGCCAATCGATTTTTGGCTGGAATTCATTAGAGAGACGCAAATTGTTGAGCAATTTGACACATTTCATGGGCAAACGTTGTGTTCCAAAGGGCACATCAACGAGGGCCTCAGCAAAAGTTATCGAAATGCCAAGAATAGAGTAATTCGATATGATATATGATATATGATATATGATATATGATATATGATATATGATATATGATATATAATATTTGACATATGATATATGATATATGATATATGATATATGATATATGATATATGATATATGATATATGATATATGATATATGATATATGATATATGATATATGATATATGATATGTGATATATGATATATGATATATGATATATGATATATGATATATGATATATGATATATGATATATGATATATGATATATGATATATGATATATGATATATGATATATGATATATGATATGTGATATATGATATATGATATATGATATATGATATATGATATATGATATATGATATATGATATATGATATATGATATATGATATATGATATATGATATATGATATATGATATATGACATATGATATATGATATATGATATATGATATATGATATATGATATATGATATATGATATATGATATATGATATATGATATATGATATATGATCTATGATATATGATATATGATATATGATATATGATATATGATATATGATATATGATATCTGCTATATGATATATGATATATGATATATGATATATGATATATGATCTATGATATATGATATATGATCTATGATATATGATATCTGATATATGATATATGATATATGATATATGATATCTGATATATGATCTTGCTATCTGATATATGATATATGATCTCTGCTCTCTGCTCTCTGCTCTCTGCTCTCTGCTCTCTGCTCTCTGCTCTCTGCTCTCTGCTCTCTGCTCTCTGCTCTACTGCTCTCTGCTCTCTGCTCTCTGCTCTCTGCTCTCTGCTCTCTGCTCTCTGCTCTCTGCTCTCTGCTCTCTGCTCTCTGCTCTCTGCTCTCTGCCCTGCTCTCTGCTCTCTGGTATATAATATATTAGCTTTCTTTGTTTGTCAAGGAATCCAATTGCAAATCCACTTAGATTAAGTAGATAACACTCGATATTCTATTGAGCAACGCTCGCTCTTATCGTTATTCATACTTGGCTGCATTTGTATAGGTAACGCCTGCTATCTACTGCCTGCAGCCGGTTCCAGTTGACGGCCCACAATGCCAGGCAAATTGAAGGCAACAACATTTGATCATAAATCGTATTTAGTCAACAAATAATTGAAGTATTATAAGAAATAATTAAAATATATATATTTTTTATTTTACAAATGTCTAGAATTTCATTTAACGTTTTTTCATATATTGTAAAATGTATAAATTTTTTGTGAATTTTTATTACAGCAAAAACAAGAGCGATAGAAACTTTAGACGTTTATCAGCAAAAGCTTATATACCTGAAGATGAAGACATCTGTCATATATGTCACAAGCCAAAAGACTTTAGCATATTAAAAGCCCTTTTCAGACACTTCATGTGCGTGTGTGTCCAAAGCAATTACAGGCGAACGACTAAGTAAATTTTCAATTATACGAAAAGCGACTGCAGCTAGAAACACTAAAGCAAAAATTCAGCTGGCAAATGAAGAGAGGGGGAAGAAGAAGAAGAAAAAGTCGTCTTTAAGGTGAAAACTTTAAACGCTTTTTCTTGGCTTATCGCAAATGACAAATCTTAAAGTGCGCCCAGCACAAGCACAACGGCAATCAAGGCCCAAACAGCAAGAGGCCAGAACAGAAATAACAACTAGGCCAGATTAAACAAGTGAGTAGGTAATGTAAGCAGTCGCCCATAGCCGACTATAGCATACTCTGTTCTGTTGCATTTGACCTTAGCTGCACAGACTTTAAGCAAAGAGAGCCTAAGCTCAAGGACTCAGTCCCTGAGAGGTCTCAAATCTCATCAAGTTTGATGTGCAACCTATATACCCGGTTTCAGCTAGCGCTAACAGCTGTATAAATAGGTCAAATGGCCAAACATTGCCGAAAATGGGCAAAAATAGCGTAACGCTCCAATTTAACTGCAGTCGGTGTAAATGTTAACGAAATAATCGCACAGCGCCATCTAGCGTCGAGGGGGAGGGACGCGGGCGGAAGACCCACAGCACTTAGCTCCCCTTAGCTTAAAAGTAAAAACGAGCGAAGCAACTGCAAATAATCATGAGCATAAACATTGCCAGTCTCACCAAACGCACCTCGCCACCCTCCCACTCCCACGCCCTCCCCCTTCATGCTTTCATGTTGCTATGAAGGAGCTGTGGGTGGGTTGTCGCTAAGCTCAGACGACAGGCAAATAACAGGTAAATGTCTTTAGAAGGCAATTTGAGTATTCTTAAAGCTTTGAAATGAACTAGTTCTAAATATATGTTGTATATAGGATCTGTATGAGCAGTACTAAGCTTAAATATAACTAATCTGGAGCTTGAGTCTATACGTTAGTTCGAGTAAAAGCCTAGTCAATCGCAATACATAAGTTACTTTGCATCCCTGCTGTGTTTCAAGACAGAAATGTGGCCAGAAGTAGCAGAATTCCTTTCGACTATAGACAACTGTAATCTAGGTAGACTATGAGTTTGCGTAGCAGAAAACCCTATTACTGAGTGAGACGAATGTCTCCGACGTATGTTTGTTTGATAGAGCGGAGTTGTGAATAGATTGGGAAATGTCGAGGTATATCTATGGAGATCTGATATTGGAAGCATTCATGGAGTTCCGGCGGCCCATGGCGCTCGAGGAGGTGATTGAATATGTTGCTGAAATGACGGATAGACCTGTTCAAGAGGTACGTCTTAGTGTGGACAACACACTGACAGCTGCCTGGTTGCATGATTTTGTGAGGCGCGACGGTGAGCTATATTTTCTGGAATCGATTGTCAAGCCTGACGTTCAGGCAACCAAGAATACTAGATCCAAAGGCTCCGCTACGACGTTCGCTCACTTCACTGGTACCTTCGACACTTGCCGGGGCGGAAGGCGAATCAGGAAGCAGAGCAGCCGGCGTTGGTGATCAGAATATCTCTAGCATATCGATTGACCTCTTCCCACACATTCGGACTCAGAGGCGGGGTAGCGACACGTCCATTGTCTAAGCACAACAGCGACAACAACAACCGGATGAGATGCCAAACCATCCGATCCTACCTCCATGACATCGTTACTAATTGCGTGCTGTCCGCCGGTCTCTCTCTCTCTGACCTGGAAGGATATCTTAATTAAATTTCAACGTATTTTGAATAAATAAAATCCTGTCTATAACCAGTACATTATACGGGGTACTTCACATAGCCATAGCTGCCTCTACACTCGCCTAGTTCATGGTTCTACCCTAGCCCAAACGACCCAGAAGAGTAACCCGAGCAAATAGAATTGCGCCCAAAAATCGCTCAGCAAATCAGTGCAAATCAAAGAGTCCATTCAGATGGTGCCCTGTGGGGCCGATGCGAGGGTTGATCAGTTGGTTACAGCAAATGCCTGCGGCTTTCGACTAATGCAGCTCCTTTTGCTGCTCAGCCCAAACTGAGGTTTGTCCTGGCCCAGCGCCATCGCAACGATGCGCATTGTGCCCCTTTGGCCAGTGGCTCTCTCAAACAAAAGGACCCACTGACTAACTGACCAAAAAAGCAGCATTAACATCCGCAGTCGCAGTCGCAGTCGCAGTGGCAGTCGCAGTCGCAGTCGCAGCCGCATTTCGCTGCACGAAAAACAATCCAAGAAATCAGTCCAAAGCGTTCGCATTGAAATGTTGTTTTAATTGCGATTCACGATGAAACAGTTGTTTGTTTCCACCAGTGCGTCCCCAGCGGCAGTCGATGGACGGCGCATGTGTGGGCGTGGCCAGGCATGGGGGCAAAGGGGCGTCGTGCACACAGCAGTTGGGCACACACTTAGCCAAGGGCAGCAGAGCGCAGCCATTTGGCAAAAATGCTTTGCCATCGAGTGCAGGCAGCTGCGACTACATTCTAATGCCACAATCGACTAGCAGATACCCTGTAAAAAACAATTAACACATGCATTTCATTGAGCCATGGCTAAATTTGGACTTCTAGCTGCAAATTCATTGCTATACTTCAATAACTATATGTGATCGACTGGCGGATACCCTGTAAAAGAAAACTCATACACTAATTTCCTTATGGCATGTCTCAATTTAACCTTTTGACTGCAATTTCCTTTTGAAAACGTGAAAAGTTCAATCTGATCGACCAGCAGATACCCTGTAAAAGAAAACTAATACACTAATTTCCATATGGCATGTCTCAATTTAACCTTTTGACTGCAATTTCCTTTTGAAAATGTGAAAAGTTCAATCTGATCGACCAGCAGATACCCTGTAAAAGAAAACTAATACACTAATTTCCATATGGCATGTCTCAATTTAACCTTTTGACTGCAATTTCCTTTTGAAAACGTGAAAACTTCAATCTGATCGACCGGGAGATACCCTGTAAAAGAAAACTCATACACTAATTTCCATATGGCATGTCTCAATTTAACCTTTTGACTGCAATTTCCTTTTGAAAACGTGAAAAGTTCAATCTGATCGACCAGCAGATACCCTGTAAAAGCCAATTATTCCATTAATTTCAATATTCTGTCTTCATTTTGACTTAATTGAAAAATTATTACAATACTACAGTTACTTCGCAATGCTGCACTAATAGATACCCTGTAATCTATATAGATACCAATGAATCAATAATAAAGATATTAAACTGTGCTGGGCTTTTTGTTATAAGCAACTTTGAGCACTGATCGGCTATTAAATACCCTGTATAAAGCGACAAGTTGGACAAAATTAAAGTCTAACAATGCAGAAGCTGCGAGTTGAGGTGGGTAATATGTACCTATCGATATCGATGCTTATCTTATAGTCTTCAAGAGGAAGCTTGAATGATAAAGAGAAGCATGCATCTATCATATGTAAAAGCTTATATGAAGTAAGCAGCTTTCACATGTTGCACACAAGCCATATATACCCTACATTCCGATTCCCTGCTTACAGGGTATACACATTTAGACTCACTGACAAAAACAATACAAGTGATGAGCTTTAAGCTCAAGTTTAGGTATTTTTCGAAATCGAATTCGAAGCAGAAACCTAATCTGTAGAAAATTTAAATTTTCCCTCGACTAATCAGTTGAGACAAACGACGCAGTCGAATCGCTATGCCCGATTTGTATAGTGTATCAAATAGCAAAATTGACGGCATCATTTGTAGGCCCCAAATACGCGGCGTTTGCTTTTCAAATTCCCACTCAAATTCAGTTTCAGATTTTTGATTCTATTTCTGTTTCTATTTGCATTTCTGACTCGGATTCCGTTTGTGATTTGGATTGGGCCATTTGAATTTGCTTTTCGATTGTTAAGCGCATCGCATCGCATTAGTAGATACCCTGTAGTAGCTTGCAGCACACTAGACTGGGCTATGCTCAATCTTAAGCATTCACATGTGCGAATAGTCGCATATACCCGTACATGAATTTATATAGGGTAGATGGCTGCCACGTGAGACGTTTCGAATCTCAAACTACGCTTTAAACAGCCCTCAGAAAGGTTAAATTTAGACAAAGATTTCACGAATTCAAATCTTCGACAGCAAAATCAAGAATCGATAAATATCGAATTTGAGGTATGCAATACTAGACAATTTACAGGGTATATTTAAGTTAATACTAAGTGACATAACTGGTATATCAATTATATATATGTTTATATATAAAATATGTCATTGAAACATGTTATTCTTAATCATAAAACATTATTTAATAATTACAGGGTATACATAGCTTTTATATGCTTATTTAGCATTGTTTCTTAGAGTAGTTTTTCTTATAGGTAACCAAGGAACAGTTATAATATATTACAAAAATAAAGAAGTTTGTTATAAATTATTACAGGGTATGTTCTCTCTCTGTCTCTCTCTCTCTATCTTTCTCATTCTCTTTCTAGTACAGTCTAGCTGACTTTCTTAACAAAAGCAATTAGCAAATGTAGAAAAATTATTACAAATGGATGCGAATAACATACCCTAAAGAGGCGAGTTTTATTACAGGGTATATGGCTTGAGCAACTGCTGATTGCTGGGTCTGTTGGGAGTTGGTGCAACAGCGTTTGGGGAGCAGGAAGGAAGTCGACCAAATGTGGGCAACTGCAATGGGAGCATTAAAAATGCATTCGCTTCGATTGCCTCCAATACTAGACCAAACTATAATAACAGGGGCAACAGCTCTAAACAAAAGAGAATGTCCCATATGAGTGTAGACACACAGAGAAACGACTACACGCCTATGGAGATCGGAGCTATGGAAGAAAACCAGTCAGAGGGAGAAGAGATACATTTTTTGATACCCTGTTTAGGGCTTTCAAAGCCCAAATTAACGAATCAAAAGGATACGTAGAACTACTCACACTCGCGATCAGTTGTTCGACCTGTAAAGACGTGAATTCGAACAGCCTTCGCTTAAGCTCTACTGCTGCAGAGTTCTAAAAATAGAACTTTGCGGTGCATTCTTTAACGCAACAGCAACAAAAACCTCACACGCAGCGTTTTCTTATCGCTTATCAATGACCTCGCTGTAGCTGCAGCTGCAAAGGTAAATGCAGAAATGCAAGCCCAGCTTAACGTTGTGATGGCAAATAGGCAAGCCTCCATCATGCCAATTAACTCGAAAATAGATATCGCCTCCGTGCAAGGCATCAATAACAACAAAAACACCAAACGTAAACAGCCAAACTCGCCAAAAACTATCAAGAAAAGGCTCATCTTCGACGAACCAAGCACCAGCAATGCAGCATTAATATCAGAAAATCGATTTTCACTGCTCGTAGAAGAAGATGAAGACCACAGCGAATTACCTGTAGCTCCAGAAGCCCCAGTATTAACCGATCAGCAAACTACACCGAAGCCTCGTCCGCCCCCCATATGGTGTCCAAACATCAAGTCTGTTGCCTTGCTTCAACAGATAATAGACAAAGTTATTGATGCAAAGTCATACGTAATTAAGCCAAAGAAGAATAACATAGGTGTATAAAAAGTAAAGTACCTTGGTATCACTCTTGACAGAAGGCTGACTTTTAAGGCGCACATAAGTCAAGTAACCTCTAAATGCAAAAACAAACTAAAAACCCTCGACTGGATGCTGAGAGCTTCAAGCAAGCTGTCTTACAGCAGCAAGGCCGCCATCTACAAGGCAATAGTTGTCCCAACCTTCGCATATGGTATCTCTCTATGGGGCTCCTCGGCGAAGACTTCAAGGAACAAAATTCAGATCCTGGAAAATAAAGCGCTACGCAGATGGACTGGAGCCAGCTGGTTTGTAAGAAACTCAGTCTTACATAGGGATTTAGCAATTCCCACAGTTGCTGAACTCATTGGGCGACACAGTTCAAGATACGCGGACAGACTTGCAGCGCATTCTAACCATCTCGCAAGCAACCTGGCTATAAACAACAATAGGCGAAGACTTAAGAGATTGCATCCTCTAGATAATATTAGAACTAGTCAAGATAGTAGTAATTATTAACATATCTGCCCTCTCACTAGATAAGGTTTAGAGCTAAATGCGCTATAGAGTCTAAGACAATACGCCGCAACAAAATAAAAAAAAATAAAAATAAAAATCTTTAAAACTGCCCAGAACTCCTAAACAAATCTAATCTTTCCTGGGGATGACAGGATTTTACAGAAAATTCGTTAGGGATTACGCAAAAATAGCATGACCTATGTCAAGCTACATAAGGAGAAATCAAATACTCAACCATAGAGAAAGAACTCCGAGCCATTGTATGGACCGCGAAATACTTTCGAACGTACGTTTAGGGTAAGGAATTTGATATTGAGAGTGATCAGCAGCCATTAAAATGGCTGATGGCCAAATATACGGCCCAAGACTACAACGATGGCTTATTGGCCTAGGAGAATACAACTTCCACATGGAGTACATAAAAGGAAAAAATAACAACAGTATCAGAGAAGACGAAATAAACTTAAAGGAGACCGAATCGACGGACGAAGACGTCCAAGCAATCCACTCTCAAGAGGACCAGGGCTTCGATATACCCATTCTAGATACAGTAGTTAACAGGTTCAAAGTACAACTCATTTTTGCCGAAGGAAAACCCGAAACCCTTGTGCAGGTGTTCCTTAAAAATAGAATTTACATTAGCAAAAAAAGATCTAGAAGACACTCAAGCACTAAATATTCTGCGACGGCAAATAACAACGGAAAATATAGGAGTTTTCCCACACACTTTACGCTTCTAATCCAAGGACAAAATACGTAAAATGCACAAGGTTCGCTAGAGAAGATGGGTTGCACAGCCAAATAGCCTTGTTTCATAAAAATGAGCTTGGGCATTGCGGGATCAAGCTCGAAATCGATCACCCCAATCTCAAAACTCATATTCACAGAATTATAAACAGCTGCGACGTCTGTAACGGTGGGAAATACGACAGGAAACGGGTCAGAAACCTTCTTAGCAATCGCTTAAATTAACAAAATAATAGAGCCAAACCAGGCATTGCTATGCACTGAGTTAACTTTGTACATTTAGACATAAGATTCAACTAAACTTAAAACATAAAATACCCTGTGATTTAATCCTTTTGCGCAACTGTTGATTGCTGGGACTGTTGGGAGTTGGTGCAACAGCGTTTGGGGAGCAGGAAAAGGAAGTCGAACGATTGTCCACAGCTGCAATGGGAGCATTAAAAATGCATTCGCATCGATTGCCTCCACAGCCACCCCCCACACCCCCTTCGCTCTTCGCTTCCTGCATCGGATGGGCAGCGGTCAGCAGCTGCGCCTGTTTATCCTGCTTGACTGTTCCCAAGGCGCGCGCGCTCGTTGCGAACGTTGAACGTGAGCAAATTGCGTTAAGTTCTCTTTATGAGCAGCTCGTTATCAACTGCGTCCCCTGCTACTGCTCCTGCTTCTCACTCGTTTCCTACTTTGCCTCACCTGCTCTACGAGAGGCACCTCGTGCTCCTTTTCCTCTACCTTCAACTCCTCCCTCATCAGCTTGTTTGCCCTGTGCTCCTTCTGCTGCAATTACTGCTCCTCATTTTCTTCTTCCTCTCTCTTCGCTTCCTTCTGCTCCTGAGTCTGCCCTTCTTAATCCTATCCCTGCTACTGCTGCTCTGCCTTTTGCTCCTGCCTCTCCTTCTGCTGTTGCTCCTTCTGCTTCGGCTTCCTCCACTGTCTCTACTCCTGGTTGCATCTTTCTGTTAACATTTCATCTCTTCCCAGTTGCTCCCTCCATCTGTTTAACGCCTGCCTCGTCTGGCCTCGCCGGCTGCTTTACGGAAACGATTGTGGGAGCCGCTGCCAAATTGTTTGCTCGCCGCCAGCAGCGCCGAGGAGCCAGCGACCTCATCTTTCTCGGGCAGATGCGCCACATGCAGTATGTCCCAGAGCAGCTTGCCGCTCTCCTGCGACTGCAGCAACTCGGCGAGCTCCGTCTGGCTGAGCTGCAGCAATTGTCGCAAGCTGCCGCCCTTCCGCAGCAGTCCGTGAACATTGCGCGTGTGGACGCCCGGCAGACGCAACAGAAAATCATGGACGGCATTGTTATACTGCAGCTGTTCGCCCGGCGCAGGGCCAGCCTCGTCGCTGCCCAGTGCGGCGGCCACCTGGGCATCCGGCTCCTCTTTGCCCAGCTTCAGCTCCTCGAACAGCTGGGCCGTCGCATACGGACTGGGCGACCAGATCAGGCGCAAGCGCGGAAAGTGCAGCGTGAGCAACTGCAGCTTCTGCATGATGTCCGCGTTCGTCGCCGTCGTCTGCTGGGAGAGCATGAACTTGCCCTGCAAGTGGAACGGACGATTCTGGTCGAACTCGATCAGCAGTATGGGCTTGGCATAGTAGCGCTGCATTTGCACACACTGGTTGTAGAGCCGGCCCGAGTTGAGTGAGCCGATTAGATCCGATATCGATTTACGCTCCACACACATCTCCGGCGTCAGAATGTAGTCGCCGATGGTGATTGTCACCGGCACCACCTCCAGCCCGCGGCGATGGATTAGGCACGGCAGATCGGAGCGAAACTCGCGCATGTCCACAATTATTTTGGGCGTGATCCGTGCACTGGCCAGCGCCACGCCCGTCGCGGCGCCTTGACGTGTCCGCGCGTTCGTCGGCTCCTCGTCGTCGTAGCTCTTGTAGAGGACAAAGGCTTCGTCCGTCTTGCCGTCCTGATACTCGGGTATCACCATTTTCTGTAAAAATAGACGAAGCCTGAGATGAGTTAGGTTCAATGCAATGCCAGACTAGCAGATACCCTGTCAGCCCTGCAGCCTACGTCGGATCTATATCAACTCGAATCAAATGCAGAGACATTCTAAATCAAGAGAAAACACCTTCGCTCTTCTATGCGACTTTCATAAACTCAACTAGGTACAGCGGGACTTATCATCTGCGACTCCCACGACTTATATGAAGCGCAGAAGAAACTTGCCTGGTTAAACGTATTTCTAAGCATCGCCTCTCCATGCGCTTCTCATAAATTCAAACTTCTGTGGAGTAGCGCATAAAGCTAAGACAGTGCTCCTGCTATCTCACTCTCTGCTAGTCTAGCTCTCTCTCTCTCTCTTTCTACAACTCTTGCTGCTTTTCAAACGAGCGCCCCTCTTGGCGATTCTCATCTCTTTATAAAGCAACTTGCGCGCTTGCTTCTCTTGACAATCTTACTCTGCCTTTAATCCTACATTAATATCTAGCATTTAAGCTTTCGCCCGCCTCCCTATGCGCTTCTCATTAGCTCAATATTTAAATTTCATGTTATAAAGCTCAACTCTTGCTCCCTCTCTCTCCCTTCTTCCGTCTCTGCTCTCCGTCTCTCTCTTTCACTCACACTCTTCGTTTCGATGATTAGCTCGAAGGCGGACTTCTCGCGACGCAAGCTGGTCAAATAGGATTGCTCCTCGACGGTGCGCGCATGGATTAGGAAATAGATTTTCATGCGCTCATCGGGCGGCAGGCGACGTCGCGCCTCAAAGACCTCCAGCTGCCGTATGGCCGTCACATTCGTATTGTACATGATCACGTAGTGCGGCTGGAGCTGCTCGAGCATATGCTCCAAGGCCATGGAGCCCTCGCGCTCCGTCTTGAACGTCTGCAGGCAAATGCAGGGCTGTCTGTGGGCGGCCAGAGCCGCGGACACATCAAACTGCTCCAGTTCGGGTATTATCTCGAAGATCGAGGCATTCGGATCGGGATCGTTGGGCATGGCCTGGGTCATGGTGAGCATGTAGCTCTCCTCGAACAGCTGCTGCTGCAACTGAGCCTCCACATCCGTTTCGCTCAGCAGCTGCGAGAGTTCGTCCAGCGCCGCCGCCGCCGGCGGAGGTGGAGCAGCAGGAGCAGCCATCGGTTCCGCCTTAACAGCTGCCTCAGTTGCCGACTCCGCCATAGCTGGGCCTTGACTCTGTTTGGCAAACTCATCGCTCAGCTTGCCAACGTGCACCTCGTGCCGCAACGCCTGCTGCAGCAGATAGCGTGCGCTGCCTTGGGTCAGATACTGCTTCAGCTGGTAGCAGGCGCGCGAGTCCTGGCAGAGTATCAGCACCTTGGGCGGCTCCAGATGATTGGCGCCTCGACGACGACTCATATCGCCAGGTATATCCTGTGTGAGGAGCTCGCTAAGTGCCTGCCACTTGGGACACGGTTCCGGCTCGAATTCTAAGCGAAAAAATGCAAAGTTCAAAATTTTCTTGTGCCACGATTTCTAGGCAACGAGCTCACCATTTTGCCCATTGTAGACGCGCTGCTTGGACAGCACGAATATCTGCTCGGCGGCATCCATGAGCGTCCACCCAGAGTTGCTAATGGCGTACTCAGTGCTGCGATAGCGTTTGATCAACGCGTACGAGCTGACTGCATCGTGGTACATCGTGGATCTGGGAAGTAGAAACAATGTTAAGAGCGTCCAACTGATTGATCGATATTCATCCCATCTCAGTCCACTCACATCATAAGACTGCGCAGTATTTTGAGATCGGCCACGATGAGTTTGGTTTGCGAATTGAGCTGATGCCAAATGCAATCGAGCTGGGCTTGGAGAATTTTGTGGAATTTCTTGGTAACACAATTCTCCACGGTGACCGCTTCCATGTCGACGGTGCGATTGATGCGCTTGATCTCGCGCACCAGAAAGTTCATAATGTCCAGAATGTGCGATTGGATGGAGCTCATCCGTGTGCTGAGAGGCACATGCAGCTCGATGGTTTGCGCCTGCCACGGATGCAGCGCAGCACGCACTGTGGCATGGAATCGCGGCCAGATATATAGCTGCTTGACAAACAGATTGCGCATGGTGCGCTCGATGTGCGAGTAGCCAATGGTGAAGGCTTCCGGGCTGCAGGAGAAGGCCTTGATGAAGCCCGTCTTGTTGCGCTGGCGATAGAGACGCAAAGCGAACGCCTCCTGGCAGCTCTCGATGATGCTGTGAGCGCGCATCACAATGATGCCCGTTATGAGCTCAATGGGTATGCGTTGCTTGAGCAGATCAACAACCAGAATCCGTGTGGATATAAACTGAATGCCGCCCTCCAGGTAAACGCGTTCACTGCAAGCGACAGAGACGCGTTAGCAATAGTTGATTAGAGTGGTGCGCCACCTACCGTTCGGTAGCCGTGTTGGCTACCTCGTGCACATATTTGCTATCCAGCTTTGACTTGTAGTACTGTTCCTCCCAGTCCGCGCTGTTGATAACCAGCAGCAAATTGCCCGCGTCGCTGTAGACCTTCAGGATGTGCAGCAGCACGCGCTCATAGCTCAGGCCTCTGCAAAGCAGTGGAATGGATTAGTTAGGAATTGAAGTGGGGTCTGCTCACAGCTTACTTGGCAGCCACGAGCAGGCCATCAGCGTGCACCGTATCGAGGAACATTTGTTTCTCATATTCCAGCAGCTGGACATCTTTGCGCATGAGATATTCCTCTGCCGTGACCAGGTTGGCTAAGTCCTCATCCTCCATATTATCGATGGTCTCGGGCAGTGTAGGGACCGCTGCCGGTTCATCTGCTTCAGTGGCCTGCACTTCAGTTGCCTCCGACATGGCGCAATAATTTCGCAACTTAACAAAACAAGGTTACCGCAGCCGGCATTTGCCGATCGAAAATGCATGCAATGCAACAGCTTTAATTACAGTTATATAGGCGTCTATTGAGGCCCACACACGATATTTGTTGCTTGACGATAGTTTCGGAATATGATTATTTTTAGTAGTTTTCTATTCTTTATAATTATTTGAAAGTTACACTTAATCAACAATTATTTTTGAAATTTGATTATTAAGACTTATTGAGTTATAATAGTAATATTACTATTTTTAGTTAAATTCTAGGCAACATCGATACTCACATTATAAATGAAATATCGATATATGTGGACAATCGGGGCGCCAAGCACGTGTGCCCGGCATTCCATGCAATTCGGATTTGTCTGCGTTTTAAACGAGTCAGATATTATATTTAATTGATGACATTTCTTAAAAAAAAAATTGCTTAAAAATGGACAGCAAGCTATCAGCGTATGCCGCCTACGGCGTATCGCCCAAGCGAAGAACGCAACAAGAGCCAAAGAAGACAGTAAAGCGCTTAGCAAAGAAGACAATCGGAAAGGCAGCAAAGAAGGTACAAAATAGTGCAGTAAATGTGAAAAAGAGTGACGGTATGCCGAGCAAACAATCAAACGGCAAGCGTCAGAAATTAAAGGCCAACAAAATGAGCAGCTCGGACACTTGCGAGAATAGCAGCGACTTGAGCTATAACTCGCGCAATATCAGTGGCAACAACAGCAGCTTAACCATGAGTGATGGCAGCTATTTGAGCAACGGTGGGAGCAACAGTGGCTCCGAAAATAATAGTGATAGCAGTAATTGCGACGCCACCGCCAGCAGCGTCTCCCACAGCTCCAACTACGAAAGTATTGACGAACAGGACGGGGCGGAGGGCAGCAGCGACGACGAGTATAATAGCGACAGCGACAACTATGGCAGCCAGAGCGAGAACGACTCTAACGGTAATAGCAGCGGGAGCGAGTACGAAAGCAATGACAGCGCACATAACGGTGAAACGCAAAGCGACGATTACTTTAGCGAGGAGTACACGCTGAGCAGTAGCAGCGGCAGCAGCAGCAACAGCCAGATTACAACAATGCCGCAAGCCGTGCGAAAAGCAGGCAAAAGCCTTGATATGAACAACAACAACAATAAGCCAACTGCAGCCAAGCAGCAAACACGTGACAAAAAGCAGCCGGTGAAACAGGAGCAAAAAGCCAAGGCGGATGGGAAAAGTGCAAATAAAGCGCCCTCGTGTCCGCTGCCGCGTCGTCCCATCCAGACGATGATCCAATCGTGTCCGCTGCCCAGCAAGGCCGCGCCTGCCAAACCGATACCAAGCACTAGCCGCTTGAGCAGCAGAGAATCGCTGACCAAGACCAAAGCCAAATCGTGTCGCCTCTCCAGCGCTCCGGCTCTCAAAATGGCCAACAAAATGGCGGCCGCAGAGAAAAAGTCGCGCAAGAGCAGCAACGAAACGCAACTGCAGACTGGCATGGAGAAGCCACGTGGTCCGGTGCATCAGATGAACAGCATCGAGGAGGGCAAGCGCATGCTGCACTGGCTCATCAATCCGATGACATCGGATTGTTTCTTCGAACAGTATTGGGAGCGCAACGCGTGCCAGGTGAAGCGCAAGCAGCCCAATTATTTCGAGCAATTGATCTCGTTCAAGATGATCGACGAGATGCTCATTAACCACCACTTGGAGTTCACCACCAACATCGATGTGACCAGCTATAAGAAGGGCGTGCGCCAGACTCTGAATCCCGACGGACGAGCAATGCCGCCAACCGTTTGGGGCTTTTATGGCGAAGGCTGCAGCATCCGGATACTGAATCCCAGCAGCTACTTGTGCAAGCTGCGCCAGCTGTGCTCCATGATGCAGGAGTTCTTTCACTGTTTGGTCGGTGCCAATGTCTATTTGACGCCGCCGAACAGTCAGGGATTCGCGCCGCACTACGACGACATCGAGGCCTTTGTGCTGCAGGTGGAGGGCCGCAAGCGCTGGCGCTTGTATGCCCCGCCGCAGTCAACGGACGTGCTGGCGCGCACCTCGTCCGGCAATTACAAGCAAGAGGAGTTGGGCCAGCCGCTGTTCGATGCTGTCCTCGAGCCGGGCGACATACTCTACTTTCCACGCGGCACCGTCCACCAGGCCGTCACCGAGCAGAAGCAGCATTCGCTGCACATCACGCTCAGCGTCTACCAGCAGCAGGCCTATGCCAATCTGCTGGAGGTGCTGATGCCCAGTGTCATGGAGCGTGCCATCAAGCACCACTTGACGCTGCGCCGCGGTCTGCCGCTGCACATCTGGCAGCATCTCGGCCTGGCCAATGGCGGCCAACAGAGCGAACTGCGCAACCAGCTCTTGGAGAACACCAAGCGACTCGTGCAGCAGTATCTGGTGCCCAGCGATGCCCAGATCGATTCCGCTGTCGACCAGCTGGCCAAGCGCTTCCAGCACGAGGCATTGCCGCCGTGCCTCAAGCCCGAGGAGCATGTGCGCACAGTCTTCGGCTCGCGCAGCGAAACGGATGCGAGCGGCCAATGCCTGTGCGACTACGAGCTGACGGAGCGGACGAGCGTCCGCCTGCTGCGCGCCAACATCCTGCGCCTGGTCGCCGATGGCTCCAGCCTGCGCGTCTACTACTATGTGGACAATGCACTCGAGTATTGCAAATACGAAGCCAACTTCATGGAGATTCAGCCCTCGGAGGCGCCCGCCGTCGAGGCCTTGATGACCAGCTATCCGGCGTACATGAAAGTTGCCAAGCTGCCGCTGCGCAGCGCCGACCGCCGCATCGAGGTGGCCACGGCGCTCTGGGAGCGCGGACTTCTCATGACCGAGAAGCCCTTCAAGTAGATCCAGCTGCACCTTTATCTATAGCTATATCTTTATATATGTTTACCGTTATGTTTATATTTAGTTTTTTTTTTGTAATTTGTGCGCACTCCAAAGACTTGGGCTTTGGCTTGCGCATAAAGTTAGGACTGTAACATACCCTGTAATACGCCATGTTAAGATGCACTGTTTGTCATGCACACTAACTTACCCTGTAATACAACACGTTTATTCACTATAACACATACTGTGGCATACCCTATAATTCACCGGATAAATCGTAAAAACTAGTTCCTTGTTAGCCATGCCGTCATACATATTAACATACCCTGTAATTCCCCAATCTAAACAAACACTGGCATACCCTGTAAAACTTCAAGTTAATCAATCAAACTTTGTCCCATTTTACCCAATATAAATATATAACATACCCTGTAATTCGTAAGAAATGCCCTACGGTGCTAGTCGTTTTTAACAAATATACGCACTTGATTTTTAGCAATAATATAAGACTTAACATATAGCTACACATCAAAATATCTTTTAAAATGTACCCAACAAGAATCGAGAATAAAATATTTTATATAGAAATGTTTCCGATTGATAGGTATAAGGATATATACATATATAGATCTCACTAAACCTATATCATCTATAACTTTAAGGACTTTAAAAGCAGTACAGTATTTGTTGTTGTATTATAAGTCTAAAGCTGTTCTTATACCTCCTATTCACGCAGTATAAGCACTTCGGACTTATACGAGTATCTTATAACAGGCGATGAAACTAAGGAACTGATTCAAAAGACAAACTTAAAATGAAACATTTACAATATAAGAAAACGGACTTTAATGCAGTACACATGGATATACATATCTGACTTATTTACTACATACATACATATACTCAAATATATATATATATGTATGTAAAAGAATAGAAAAGGAAACTGGAAATGCATCGCGATTTAAGCGCTGCGAATTCTTCTGCGCTCGCGATACAGGCTCTCCTTTTGTACTAGAAAAGAGAAATGATGGTTAATAGTTGCGCAGATGGTATAATGTTAAAGTGTACGCCACTCACTGTACGGATCGAAGCGAACCAGCTCTATTTTATCTGCGAGCCGCTCACGAAACAGGTTGAACTGATGGCCGCTGACCACGCTCTCCATGAGCACCATGATGCGTCTGTTAATTGAGAAAATTCTCTATTAGCGAAAACTGAAGATGTTAAATAATACTTTTTTACTTACTTGCTCTTGACTTTCTTGAATAGAACTTCTGTCAGCCTCATTTTTGTTAGGATTGAGCGAATTTAATAATTTATTTTGGGTAACACCTGAAAATTATTGTGCAAGCCGAAAGCAGAAAAAGTCCTAAAAAACGGCATAAACAGCTGATCGCTCATACATGTCATTGAGCTATCGACTGTTGTGTTGCCAAACAGCGCGCGCAATTTGAAACGAACTGTATTTAGCTATTTGTTCAATGTTTATTGTTAACGTTAATGTTTATTATAAATATTCAAACGATATAAATTAATCTCTCACTAGTTCCTCACTTTCTTCAACAAACTCAATTGTTGTGCATCCGGCAGCGGAAGGCGCGCAAATAAAATACCAGAGTTGCTATTCATCTACACATATCGCTTAACTATCGATTGTAGTGCAATCGTAGTGTAGTGCTGCGCGCCTAATTTAAAATTAGTTGATTTTTATTAAATATTTATGTAATGCTTACATTTATATCTTCTTTTTTATTGCTTTTGTTACTTTAAGGCAATATTTGCTTTTAATTCGCCTTTAACCTTTGATTGTAATTATATCGTGTACACGTTGGTATATAAAAAGTGCTAAAAAATGCCATATGCAACTAAAACTTCACTAATCACACACACGTTATTATCGATTATTATACTTGCGCCCAGCGCGCGCAATTTAAAATTTATTGACATGAGTATTATATGTCTTTGTTTGCTTTGTATTTACCTTGAGCTGACACTGAAATAGACTTAACCTTCTGCAAATATATAAGTCATGTACACGCTCGCGTGTCCCTGAAGCCAACGCAAAGCAATGCTTAATCCACTTACGTTTTTTTTTAAATAAGCATATATTTAAAGCAATGCAAACAACAGACTGTGTCTGGGCCCATGCTCTAACGTCACCCCTACCCCTGCCCCTACTCAGGCTGTGGCTCACGATCTGCCTGGCTAGACAAGAGTCACATCACACACATCAATAAGCGCATGACTAGACTTCCGCTGCCGACGCCGCCGTCGCCGCTGCTTCTTTCTTTCCCTCTATGTGCTTGTCTGTGTGGGGTGTTTCCTTTCCGTTTCCGTTTTGTTGCGCTGGTCGTTAAATAGCTTAAGCTGATACAAATTAAATTAAATGAATACATAGCAAGGCGCTCATTGTCAGGGTCAAAGAGGAGGACGGACGAGGACACGACGAGCGCACTTCGGGTCGGCAGCACGCACACATAACCTCAAACAATGACGCCAATTGGCACAAAAGCTTAGATGTGTAATCCTGTCGACTTGACTGTAACAGTAACTGTAACGGTATTGTTGTTGATTCTTAGACCTATTACCATATAAGCAGGATGGTAAGGTCAACAGCATCAGCAGCACCAACAAGAGCTGAATAAACCAACTTTACGCAACTAGGCACGCATACATATGTACATATTTACAGATAGTTGCTTATATATGTATATATACATATATGTGTATTTGTATAGTAAGAATAATCAGTTTCGTCAGCGGCAGCAGCAGCAGCTGTAAAGGCGGTAATTTGCCTTTATGCGTTTGCCGTTGGCTGCTCACGTGCTTTCACACGTTGCTCAACACTAATGTCAAAAAGCACGTGCAGCATCTCGCTCGCACTTGTACCAACACCCTTGCTGCCTTGAGTGCAGCCAAGCTTTGGCAAGCGCCAGCTTTAGAAACCAAACAAAAACATGAAAACACACACATACGCACACAAACACACAGATACGCCACAAAGCCAACTCGGCTGCTCTGCACAATGAAGCCCAAAAAAGTAGGCTAATAATATTGAGCAACCGTTTTGTAAACAACAATTTTTTACAGAGTTTTTGTATGGGAAACAGTTAACTATTTATTGTTTTTATATAACATAAAATAAATCATGCAATAAGTTTAATATTAACTATAAATATGACTCATTGCGAAGCATGTACTATTGTGCTGGACGGGAGTGTTAGCAAGCACAAAACACTCTCACACACACACAGCTGCTGCTGTTGTCGTCGCACTTGTAGAGCTTTTCAAAGCGTATAGGGCTGAAGCTGAAGCTGAAGCCAAAAAGCTCATTCGGCTGACGACAACGTCATCGTGTAAATAAACGCAAATTCAGTCTATCAACGACACTCGTGCGAGGCGGATGCGAAAGCGCGCGCAAAACTCTCTGCCCAGTGCCATAAACAAAACATAGACAGGAGTAGTAAGAAAAAGTTGCCTCTTTTACAATTCTGATTTCAAACCCAAACAACAACAACAATAACAATAACAAACAGCGTGAGCAGCTTCTAGCTCCTGCTTGCTCATCCTGTTGTTACCAACAAAAAAAAAAAACAATAACAGATTTATTTTTGTTATTTTTTTCGCGTGCTGCGTGTAAATAAAAATCCTAAAGCAACTTTTTCTTGCTATTTCTGAGTGTTTTTTTTTTGCAATTTTTTCATGTGCTTACAGCAATTACAAAAAAAAAACTAAATAAATAAAAACAAAAACAAAATGCCAAACAAAAATATATAAACAACAAATCACAGACAGTATTTACAGCAGCAGAGCAGCAGACGCCAGCGTCAGCGCCGACAGCGGTAAGCATTCAAAATATTAGTTAAAAGGCAAAAAACAAAAACAAACAAAAACAAAAAAAAACATTGCATTGCATAGAATTTTAGCTTATGCGCGCGTTATCTCGTTCTCGTTCTCTCCTCCTTTATCTCCCTACGCTCTCTGTGTGTGTGAGTTCCTGTTAAGTTTGTCCGTTATATGTTTATGTGTGTGGTGCTGTCTGTGAGTGCGGCAATTCATGTTTTTTGTTATTTTTGCAGCGCGCTTTTAGGCGCATCTCGAATGCAGCAAAAAAAGTAAAAAAAGCAGCGCAAAAATAACTAATTAAAATGTCCGCAACTGTCAGTCACACGCAGCAAACCTAACCCTGGTCTGGCCCCTTGCACTTGCCCTTCCCCTTCCCCTTCCTCTTTTCCTTCTCCTGATGCTTCTGCTCTTGTCTTGCTCTTTCGCTATGCCTTTATTCATGCCCATTGAATTTCGCATCCTCTCGACTGCGTCCTTGGCCATGCGCCCACACGCAATTGCATTTACAGTTACGGACGTCGCAGTCTGCGTCGTTTGCCGCTGACGCTGCCGTTGCAGTTCCCTTCTTTTTTTGCACATTCCTTTTTCACGTTTGTTTTCGCCGTTACCTAGAAATTGCAATTTTCCATTATCGCATAGATTCATTTATCTAAGAACTCTACAAATTATACCCTGTAAACTAAAATTGAAGCTAGTCTGGGGTATATCTGACTAAAGTATATATTAAAGTATATATTTTTGTATACATATGCTTAAAAGATAGATATTGGATAGCAATGCATTCAATTTTAGGCATATATGAAGAAAAGCCCGAGGGTATACGGGAATTAATTGACCTAGTTCAGAGCTTCCCTTCTTGTTTTCCCTTTAGTTAAATCTAAAAAAGCTTGCGAAAGAAATTTTAAATACCTTTCAGGGGCCTAAAGAATTTTCTCTTATGTTTCTCGTTTCTCAGAATCTGAAAATAAATTCCTCAAAGGCTCAGAAAATAGTTGAATACAATTTCCTGGTTCCAAGAAGAAATTACCCATGGAGTTTTTATCGGCCAAGGCAAAAGGAAACTTTCCCCATGTAAACATTAAATGCGAAAATCGTGTAGCGGTGAATAATGAAAATTATATCTGTAATTGAAATTGAAATTGAAATCGAAGAAGTGTTTAATAATTGAATCTCGAATTATTGTTATAAACATTACGAATCCTCTATTTGTTAGTATTAAGTCTCAATACTGAAAAGCAACTGTTTTTTACGGAACACATTTGCCCCACAAGATATCAGATTTTTGGAGGTGCGCAATTTCCCTTTAAGTACAATTACCCTTTACAAGGTAAGGGAGAAACTGAGCGAAAATATTCCTATTACATAACATCGTTTACGGTTCAAAAATAGTTGAATAAATTGAAGAACGGCCCTCAAAGAAATAATAGGGTTTCTGCTATGTATTTTCTCATCTGTCATTCGCGTAATGGGGAACTCAGACCCCTTCAATAAGCAACATCTCCCAATTTCAAGATTTTAACTTCGGACGGAAGGACAGACAGACATTGTGCACAATCAATATACTCCATTCACTGCATTAACGAGTAGGAATATATTAACACTTAACGTTCACTTTCTATTATAACAAAATATGCATTTTTATATTTCCCAGCGTCTTCTGTTCATATAAAAATTAAAAAATAAAATTTGATCTCATAAATTGAAGCTTAACAATTTTTAAAACAAAAAACAACCCAAAAAATAAATGTATTTTCGATTCCAACATACATATGACTTTTTTATATTTCTCTATTTGTATATTAAGGCTATTTCCGTTTTCACTTTACAACATTTTACATGACAAATATTTCCCTTAAGCATACAAAACCATTTCATAGTGACTCTCAAAGTTCAACCGATCTGCCAAACTGTATGAATATATAACCAAATACACACATATACTAAATACATACATATATGTAACAGTAATATCAGTGCACAGCTTTTTCTTACATTGTCTTCTTATTTTTGTAAATTTGCCAATGTTCAGTAAGATCTGCCGCATCAAGCTGACTCCAGCTTCAATTAGCATAAAAGCAGCGACGCCGACTGGCAGGTGAAATGCGTAAATAAACAAATGAATCGGCAGGCGAATTGCGAGTGCAAGTGGGAGTGGGAGAGAGCGAGTGAGCGAGTGAGCAGCAGCACACACGATACATAAGTAAATGAATAAATAAATAATGTAAACAAAATATTAAATTAGAAGAAATTTACTTATGCACGCCGACGCAAACACAATTGAATGGAGTGGGAGACAGAACGAGAGAGTGAGAGAGGTGTGAGAAGGCGGCTGGCATACAAAGCACATACAAAAGTAAATTGTGCAAAGGCCCATTATAAATAAAGCAAAAAAATTTACACGCACTCTCTCTCTCTCTCTCTCAATTGCTCTCTTTGCGAGCTGCTCACTGCTGCATATTAAAGATTGAGTAGCACTGGGCATCATTGCAGCCACTTGTTCCTTTTTTCATATGTTCGCAGTTGTGAAGCTATTGCAATTTGAATATCAGCAAATGTTTTTTTCTCTGATTGGTTGGTTGATTTTACAATACCCTATTAAAATCGAAAGCATATACTATATTATGCACAAAGCTAATATAATTATTTGCGTCATGACAGTTATGCTCTTAAAAACAATATGATAAATATATTCTAATGAGAGACATTTCAATGTTATATGTACATATATAGATTATAGGGTATTTGGTTATCAGTCTTTCAGCTACATATGTTAGAACATTTTTTGTTTGTTTGCCTCGTTGCTTGATGTGAAGATTGTGCAATAAAGCTACAATACCAAACAATTGCCGCATACTCATTGCACAAACACACACGCACAGACGAGTATAAAGATAGAGATATGCATGTTGAATAGTGTGAGCGAATTTAGCAAATGTGCACTCTCGCTCTCTCGTGATCGTGAGCCACACATACGCTCACCTTTACTCATATGCGCTCTCACCACACTCTCCTTTTTACACTTTCGGTGTGCTTTGATAAACGAATGGCGGCGGCAGCAGCGACTGCAAGGCGTGCGCGTATCCATTGCTGTGGCGCTCTCAGCCGGTCAGTTGTTTGGCTGAGCTTTTCCCGTTAGCCCACTCGCACTCGCACTCGCGCACATTGCCCGATAAACACAACACTAACGAAAATCCAAAGAACAAATATACACACACATAGGCAAGCGTAAACACATAGAAGCCGCGTCACGGCGACGACGGCAACGTGTTTCGGTTTCGATTGTTTGGCAGGGCAAAATACAGAAGCTTTAAATACAGTTACTTGTTATACACAAGGCGACAGGGAGGCAGAAGAACGCGACGCTGTGTAAAATGTTGTTCTGTCGTTATTATTGTTATTGAGTTGATCTCCAACATTTGTTTGTTTTCTTTTTCTTGTGTTTTTGTTCATTTTTTGTTTTAGTGTGTGCGTGTGTTAGCTAAAAATGCAATAAATTTGCAACCACAAGCAGGTGGCAATTGCTTAAAGAGCAGCCAGCCGCAAAAACGAACGTAAGATAGCAGAGTGTGGAGAGAGAAGGGGAGAGAGAGCAAAAGCGCGCCATTGCGACGGTGAGTGTTTTTATGTTTTTTTTTTCTGCTGAGTAGAGTGCTGCTCAAACTGTAAGAGAACAAGCTACTGAGTTTACAATCAGTTTAACCACATATTTCTTCGTATAATAGCTAAAAAAAAAAGTATTATTGCTTAATAGTTTTTTGAATATAAAGAAAAATCTTTTAACACTCTTAACGTGTGATAGATAAATTCTCTGCGATAAACACAATTTTAATTGATGATAATGAAGCTATAATTATAATAATTAATGTTGAAATATGCCCAAGCATAGATTCGAGTGGAATAGAAAATATATCAATTTATATCTTATTGAGCTTGGGAGCTTAAATAAAGCTATATCTATGGATCTCATCAGTTTGCTACATCTATAAACACTCTTCCATTAAAGCTAATAAAAGAGAATTGAATTGAAATATTAATTCTCTAACAGCAATTAATAACATTCAGACAGCATTTGCTTTACAAGCGCGCAAAAGTTGTAGACTCCACAATACAAACAGTCGACAGGTGTTTGCTGATAGTTTTATATGCCTTTCCCCATACCCATAAGCACACGCACACATGCACATATGGATGAACATGCGGCATATTGAATTACATTACAAACTATTTTGTTTAATTAAAGTCACGCTGCGGTTTGCACCTTTCACATTTCATGGTTGCTGTTGTTGTCTGACATTAGTTTGATGAGAATATTTTCCACCATTTCCCATTACCATTTCCATTTCCATTTGCACATTGCACAGTTCAATTCATCGAACGAGCTGTGCAAATGTCAGAAGCTGTTTGTCTTTGTGGTCGATTGGGCTCAAGGCACCGCCCCCTATTTACCTACCTGCCCACCTGCCCACCTGCTCACCTGCCTACGTGTGGTGACAATTATAGTATTATGCACTAATTGGGTTAATAAAAGGTGACAGTGTGGGAAAGGTGATAGACAGGGCAATACCCTGTGCGTTGCGAAAACAGTTCTCGTTTAGCATAAGATAAACTGGCTATCGAAAATAAAAGTATCGATAAGTTATATAAGAATATTCGTATGGTATCTAGTTAGTATGCAGTTTTGATATAAGCGTTACGAATACATCGATAGATCGATAAAGTTGATCAACTAGTTACATAGACAAGCTTTAAGATATGGCTTAGGCGTTATTGATCAGTGTATGTCGATCAATTTATATCGATAATTATATATCCATTAATATTTATATACTGTTACTATGATAGACATGCTCTAGTTTTTATTTCATTGAAACTTTATCGAAATTTATCGATAAATAACAAATTTATTCTTTACGTACACATTCTCCAGTGCTTTTAACGTTACAGATTATCGACATATCATGCATACATAAATTGCATAGCTATATTTCGAGCTGAGAAGCATTCCCTATATTTACAGGTATTTCACACATACACCATAGCATACCCCCTTGAACTGCATTACTGGGTATATTCACATTTGTTCTACTTTTTATTGCCGTTCTGTACGATTATTTGTGCTAAATATTATACAATTTGTTTATACTATTGATATATAAAAAAATATATATAGATATATATGTATATATATATATACTCCAACTGTTTGACATGTTGGCTTATAGACATAGATAAGAAATTCATCTCGGTGCAATTTCGTTTAGGTTTTTAGAGTTTTTAGAGAAAAACTAATTAAGAAGAGATTGAAAGGAAAGCGATAAGAAGAAGTAAAAACTGAAAGGACAACATTCACCAATCGAAATAGTTTTTATATATACATGTACATATATATATAGAAACTGGTTTGACGACAATGCCCAACTAACTAGACATACAGATGTATATACATATATAAATATATATGCCCAACTAGCTAGACAAACAGATGTATATATATATATATATATGTGCGGTCAAAATACGACGCCGATCAGCAATATAACTGTTAAATAGAAGCCCATCGATGTGACAGGCAGCATCGGCATTGATACTGGACTATGCAAGATAACGTTCAAGAATCTGGCAAGTATTTCGTAGACAATCAACTTCACTTTTGGCCAATACGTTTGCAACAAGCACCACCGATATGGATTGACGAAATAGATCACATGTCGGACTATTCCGATTTTTCGCTCGATTTTCTTGATCTCCTGCAAAATTTCATCGCCTTGGCTCTCTTTCAGCAGCTTCGAGTGTTTACTGTGGCAGAGTAAACGAATAAGAATCAGAGATGGAGAGAGATATGAAGAAAATAGAAAGAGAGAAAAAAAGAGAGCGAAAAGGAATGGAGAAGAAAAGTATAGAGAGAGATAGAAAAGATGTGAGATATAGCAAAAGAAAGAGACAGAAAAGGTGAGACAGCGAGATAAAAAAAGAGATGGAAAAGACAGAGATACTGAAGAAGAGAGAGATACTGAAGAAGAGAGAGATACTGAAGAAGAGAGATACTGAAGAAGAGAGAGATACTGAAGAAGAGAGAGATACTGAAGAAGAGAGATACTGAAGAAGAGAGAGATACTGAAGAAGAGAGAGACTATGGGCTGTTAAGTAGAGTATGTAATAAAGCAAAGAGCTCGTAACAGCAGAGACGAGAGAAACGGAGAGAGAGATCAATGAAGTTATGAGTCTAGCAGAGAGATCGATAGTTGAATAGATATATGATATAGAAACAGAAGCATAAAGAGAGAGACCAAGAGAAAGATGGAAAGGGAGTTAAAACATTTCAACTTACAGTTCCAGTTCGGCCAGCTCCTGCTCGTAGCCCTTTAGTGTTTCGTATGCCTTGTCGATTTTCTCCTGCTTCAAATGCACAGCGACAACAATATCGTCGTGCTGTGCCTGAAAGCGATCTTTCATAGTCAATAGCTATTTAGGCGAGGTATTGTTTAAGAACATTATTTATATATGTGTGCAGAGAGAGAAAGGGAGAGGGGGAGTTTATTTGGAATCACCTCATCCTCCAGTTCGGCATTGCGTATCTCGAGAATGCGATTCTGGCGCTGCTGTTCGGCCAGTTCCTGGGCGCATTGCCGAAACTTGGTCAATTCGCGGAACATTTCAGTTTTCGTAACGTTTAGCAGCTCCGCAAAACTGTTGCATTCCTGTGTCTTGACGGTCAGATCACGGCGCAACTTCGCCTCCTCGCGACGCACCATATTCAGCGCATTCTCAATGGTCACACAGCCCTGGGAGCTCAGCTCTGCCGCATATTTCACCTGTCGCAGCTCCAGTTCCAATCGATCGCAGCGTCTTTGCTCCTTGCAGATCATCTTGTTGCGCATAAATAAATCATCTCGCATTGTATTGGCCTGGAAATACATAGGGAAAATATACGACTCGGGAATTGATAACTCTATACAGCTTTATCTAGATATAGATAAATGATTCGATTTGTTAACTTTATACTTTAAGAACTATATAGAAATGAAGTCTGTTTAAGATTTGGTTCACATTAACTGAAAGGGAACAAAAAGGTTTTAGCAACTTAAATTTAGAGTTCTCTATCTTAAGAGCTCCATAGTAATTCGATTTTGATGCGACTTGAAATGTGTTTGGTTCGTGAACCACTTTTTATGACAAGTTTCGATACAGATTTAAGCGCGTCTCTCGACTTGAACCGGTTCGCTTTGAAACTGGCTTTGCTGGAAGACTAAGACAATAAGATTTCAGCTCGAGCTTCCTTTAGGTTGCTTTGAATGCACTTATTTTGTCTTCTAGCAGTAAACCGGTTCGCGGCTGAACCAAATACATAATTTAAGTCAACTATGGATAGAGTACGTGTCATCATATTAGATATGAGCGTATATCCTTTTGCTGGGAAATCTATCTACCATCTAGGGGGAAAGCTATCTGCCTGGCATAGCTTACCTTGACTTGGTATTTGCGAACCAGTTCATGCAAATCGCAGACCTCGGCGCAACGGCGACGCCAGAGCCGGGCGAGCATTACATTGAACACTTTAATGGCTCTCATACGACTCGGCAGATCCATGTGGTGGGCTAGTGCTATTGGATGCTGTTGTCTATCGATGACTGTGCTTGCTGATGTTGCCGTTGGTAGGGGCCTTGGATAGGCATACTTTGATTTGTGTGGACGCATCATTTTCTCAAACGTGGAGCTCAGCTCATCGATGTCACGATTGAGACTCTGCTCCATGCCGCACCAATTGCTGCTGTGACGTTCCAGTGATGACATGACCTTGCCTTGGTAAGGTTAAGGGCGAGAGGAAGATGAAGGTTACTATTGTGCTGAAGCAGACATATCGAGAATTTTACTTACGTTTCTTTTCGCTCTCTCTCCCTCACTTTTACACTCACTCTCACTCTCTCGCTCCCGCTCTCGCTCTCGCTATCGCTATCGCTATCTAAACTGTTTTAACGAAAAGTGCAGATATTGTTTGTGATCTTAGATAGATGTATATATATATTTATATATATATATATATATATATATATATATTTATATATATATATATATATATATTTATATATATATATATATATGTTTATATATATATATATATATGTTTAGTTGTGTTCATCCCATGTGGGCTAAATATGTCCTAAAGTGCGGATCCAAATACATTCTCTCTCTCTCTTTCTTTCTCGCACTCTATTTCTCTCTCCCTGTATATATATATATATTTATATCTGTATACATATATATATATATATATATACACACACATATATATATATATATATATATATATATATATCCACTCCCGTCTCACAAACATACGCTCGCGCTCACGTTTACCACTGAATTGAAATCCAAAGCACATTTGATCTGACATAAAATTTGTTTTATTCGCTTTTTTTGTTTTTTTGTTTTGTGAGTTTGAAAGAAAAGTGAGCAAAGTTTTTTCAATTTCCTCTCAAGTTTAACTTTTGAAATTCGAAGCGAAAGGCAGAGCTCATTTGTTTTAGTTTTTTCTTTTGTGTAACTTTTACATCGAGAGACGTGGCAATGATGAGCATTAACTTCCACTAGGAAGCAACGGTTATTTTCCAAAGATTCCAATGGCTGGTTGATATCAGATCGAAAATGCTCTTAGATCAGTGGAGTCGATGGGTCTACAGATTCGGTTCTTGCGAAATCTATATTGTTTGAAGACAAAACTTAGAAGTGAGCAAAAAATTAAAACTCTAATCAGCATAAATAAGCTTAAAGATTATTTTATTTCAATTCTGGAAATGGAAAGCTTCGATAGATTAATTTTCTTCAAATCTTGTAACTTTATAAAAGCCATATATTTTTTTTTAATATTTTCTCTCAGCTTGTAAATATTAGTTAACTGCTATCACATTTTGAAATTTGGCCTTATGGATTCTTGGCCGCACGTTCGAAGGTCCTGCAAGGAGAGCGAAGGGTAGAAGAAAACTAAACAAACTTCATCAAAGAATTTGCTTCTCTTTAAAGTTCAAATGCAAAAAGAAAAATAAAACTTTTTAAATTCACTTTCGAAGGCGAAACTTGAAAATGATTGAGATATATATATTTATATATATCTGTATGTTTGTAGATGATGAAAATATGAAATGAGAAATTACACTATTGACTTATTGCTGTTGTCTGTTGCCTGTTGACTGTTGTCTGTTGCTTGTTGCCACACGCCATTTTGACAGTTTGAGCGCTTGGCAAACAAACCATCGGCCAATTTTGTAATAGAGGGCAAAGGGCAGGAGGCACGCGGCCGTTTGCACGGGGGCGTGGCGTTGACAGGCATCAAACATAGTTGCTGATAGAGCGTGAATATGTCGGGTAACAGGCGGAGGCGTAAATAGGAGAAACGAGTGAGAGTTACGTTGGCGCCTGGCAGGCAATTACCTCCAATAACTATAAATGAAAGTATCGAAAGAGAATTGTGGAAAAGTCACAGTTGCGTATGCTCGCCTCACACATACCCCACAGACAATTATTTGGTATGTACGTGGAGTAAATGATGAACTTATGAGGTTTTTTATGTTATAAATTATACATTAATTTAACATTATATCGTCTTAGAGAAAAATATCGATAAGGAACATTTTATGCCTAAAAGATAATTTCCAAATCGATAATTCTAGATAATGAAAATCAAACAGCGATTGATAAGTTTTCGATATTTTAACATAGAATTAGTACATGTATATATATCGATAAATGAAAGTTATCGAATATTATTATATGCTTGATTGAAATATAAGAGAATTGAAGCTAAACATATATCCCAAAAGAGGACAACCAAATCGTTATTAATCGATATTTATAAGATAATCGATAGTAGGAAATCTATTTGATCTTCGGAACAAATCGTTATTAATCGATATTTATTAGCAGAAACCGAAAGGTAATCGATAATAATACATATAATTAATCTGCGCATTGATATACCTAGTTAATATGTCTGTCTGCTCAGGTCAAGTCACGGCATTCTAATAGTCAGTCATGACCTTTGCTCGACCACTCAATGAGGATATTCCATAAAGTTCAAGGCTTCGTTGGCTACAAATTTTGAAACGCTAAAGCGCTGGCTTAACGTTTCAGCCAATTGCTAGGAAACAAGGCAACAAATTGATAGACTGATAAGCCGTTAGATTGATAAACTGATAAAGTGAGCCAAGTGTCTTGTTGCCAAGATTGGCGCACATAATTAATTAAAATATCATTAGAGGGGGTCAAAAGGAAATGCGAGCGATAGCGTCCTGGCAACAAACCATAAAACTGGGCTAAATAGTTCCAGAAGCAACAGGATGCCCAGATAAGCCCAGAATAGAGTGCAGGAGTGGATGAAATGGATGAAATGGAAGCGCAAAGCTGAAACTAAGCCAAGTCGAATACAGACACAGCTGGCCAAACTAATTATGCGCTCCAGCGCCACTGGAATCTTTTGCATATGAAAGCAGTTGTGAAATTGCCACGACCTTAGCCAGGACACCCGCTCAGTCCCTCCCACCCTCTCACCCCCTCGGCGCCTAACCCCTTTTACATAGCCCGCTCGTATTCCATTCAAAGGCCATAGAATCTCATCTTCTGCGTGCGCCCCCTTCCCTCACTTTTTAGCATTGATTAAAAGTTTGAGCAAGTCAATAGAAGCCAAGCCCATGTCCAGGTCCAGGCCCTCGTCCACGTCTCGTCCTCTCGACAGAGAGCAACGCGTGACAGCTCAAAATGCAATTTGCAGTGCTTCTGCCGTGCAAAGTTGATGGGGATTATTTAAATTTATAAGCGCCTCGAAAATATTCATGAAAAACCAGCTCCAGCTTTACCCTCGTGTTGAGTTCACAAAAAAGAGAAGCGAAAATTGATTCAAATCAAATTAACAATTCCATTTTCGACTCCATTTCGCTCACAGAAGTTATAAATTTTACCTTCAGCCTACCTTTTATTAAAACTAACATAAATACTGGTTGAAAACTTTAATAGCTTTTAAGAACTTAACTTGAAAACGAAATGAGTGTATTAATTATATGACGTCGAGAGAAGTGTTGCCTCCCTGGAGTTGCCTTCCCAGAGAAGTTTTTTTGGGTAATTTTGTAAAAATAATGGGAATATTGTCTGCTTTATTATGGAATAGAGGCAATGGTCGATACTTACCTAAGCAAGTATAGCTCTAAGAAAGAGAGAGAATTATTTATAGTGTCCATGAAATAAAGAGAATTTTTTTTTATATGAATAATAAATAGAGGGAATACTTACTAATTTTTAAAGAAATAAAGGGAATATATGATAAACCGTTTGTAATAAATGCTGACAAATTAATTTCTTCTCTATAGTTTATAAGCATATATATATATATAGTTTTATAAGCAATACAGGCTATCAACTTTATTTAAGACTTACTTTTTCTTTTAATACTGGGAATAATTTCATTCGATTACTGCAAAAGTTTACAAAAGTAATTTTAACTGGGCGAACAATTCTCTAATTCTAATTAGAACAATTTTACTCAGAAATAAGGGGAATATTTTATATATTTTTTCCTAAATAGTTTCTTCTATATTATTATTATTATTATAATAAAAAGTTGGCTAGAAATGGATCCTTAGAGGTATTTGTGAGATTTGCTTAGCTTCGTCTCAAAAGTCAGAAGAAGGAACTTGATCAGGATGATTAAGGAACTATGCCTTAAAACTCATAAGACTTGAAATGTGTTCTGTGTTTTAGGCCAGTTCAGAGAGGGCGTGGCAAGCAACGGTTGTGAAACGAGGGCGCATCCTTAAGCCCTTTTGCCATTCGTGAAGTATTATAAAAAAATTTCACTTAAGTTTTTATTTAGGTTCTTTTTCTTTCGGTTGTTGCTGCTGCATTTTCTTGGTCCACAGCCGCCCACACGCTGTGTGCTTTTGGCAAATTGTGTAGCTTCTTCTTCCTGTGCTTCGTCTTCTTCTTCTGCTTCATCCTTTTGTATGTACGTTTTGTCTTGCTGGATTTTCTGTCGGCTCTGTTTGCTTTTGCCATTTTGTTTCCGCCATTTTCGCTGCTCATTTGCTGGCTGTTTATTTGCATAGCCGCGTGCTTTGGCTCAGCCGGGCCTTAGCCTCGGCTACGGCTTAGCTGCAGCTCAGCTCACCTGGGCTCACCTGGGCTGCCTAGCTGGCTTGCCAGCTGTGTTTTTTATTTGATTAGCATTTGTTTATAAATGATTAACAAAGAGGTTAATGTGGCCCCAGCAGCGAGCGGGAGATAAACAGCAAAGTGGGAGTTGGTCATGCCAACGATCTGGCAACGCTGGCAACGCTGGCAGCAGCGGCACAGAAGTAGCTCAACCAGAAAACGTTAAAGGCAGAGGCAGAGGCAGTGGCACTGCCAGAGCCACAGCCAAAGCCGGAGCCAGAGTCAGAGCCAGAGTGAGCAAAGAAATGGAAATTTAGTTCATTAGGCACAGCTATGGGGCAATTTCTTATTATGTGTGTGTATGTGTGTGAGTGGGTGTGCCAAGCTCTGGCTACATTTGGAGTGCAGCAACATCGGCAACGGCAACGGCAACGGCAACGGCAACGCTGCCGACCTTCACACACAGACAGACAGAGATATGAATGCGACTTCTTCTTTAATTTTCTCGTTCACCTAGCGAAAGTCGAGCATATTAGCTTCTTGCAATGTCCATTCGTCCGTATGAGCACAAGCTATTGAAGCTGTAGACTTCAAATTTCTAATATTTTCAATACGTTGTTAGGGACTCTAAACTTCGAATAAACGAGTCATTGGGAGCATGCCGAAGCTGGCAAAACTAAATCTACTAAAGCTAGTTACTGCACATGCCCTCCTGAGATTCGCCAAGATGGGACTTAAGTGCATTTGGCCCACGAACGAGTATTATGCAGTCGGTA